CACACTTCGAACTCTCGCCGTTCTCCGGTTCACAGACAGCAAGGACACCGACCGCAGCGCAGTATCCACATTCCACAATGTCTCGGTGTCACCGAAGCACGGAGACATACGACTACGAGACGGCGTACGGCGGCTTACCGCAGGACTTGGCTGAAGCCGCTGAGGCTTCACAACTCCCCCTTATCTATCAAGGGGGATCCTTCGCTTGCTCGAGAAGCACAAGGTGGGAACCTACCACTCTACCAGACACTTTCCTTTGTGTCCATATCTGTTTCTGGTTCTGGGACGTTGATTCTGACAGGAAGAGCAGGTGGTACCGAGCTTGCAGTTCGCAGTACCTAGAGGTAGGCAGCGGACCTCTGCATGGACCAGACGTAACCGAAGGAAGTGAGACATTGTTCTATCGGATGTTCTCCAATCCCTCTTTCGCAGCAATGTATCGTAAGTGTTGTTGTTAATAATGGTAATGAGCGCCACTGGCTCCTTTGCGAGGTCCACAACATAACAAAACGAGTAGAATAGTCTTTCGCGGATAACAAAACCGTTGCGTCTGCTGGGCGGCTCTTTCTTACCTCAGCGCAACCTCACTGCTCCACGAGGAGGCGGGCAGACATAACCTAGAGGAGGGGATTTGAGATTTTTACCGTGTGGCTGTAGCACCGACGTCTCGAGCACCACAATACCTTAACCTTATGGGTCCGGTAACGAGTCCCCAGAACAAGCGGAAACTTAAGCCGGAGGGAGGGGTTGTTTAAGAGCCGGACCGAGTTGCGTTGCGTTACCGCGCTTGAGACTATGAGGGTCATTCTGGAGAGGATAATTCTTGCTGTTAGCACGTCCAAGTTAAGGGGTGAAAATAGATGAGTGTATCAGACAGAGTGGGAGAGACGACAGCATGTACTACTTGCCAAAGCGAGAGCAAGACTGCATTTGTTCTCATACGGAGTTGTTATAGAGGCTTCTGTACGGCATTTTCTGTACGCTGTACGCAAAAAAAACCACGCATTTGGCGGAATTTCGTACAGATTTCAAAGTTACGACCCCCTTATGATAGCCTCGCATAGCCTTGTCCGGGTTAGGGTTTTGTATAAACAAAAAATCATACAGATTTCCCAATTTCGTATAGAAGCCCCAAAATGTATATATGGTCGAAATTTGAGTACAGCTATACGCACGACTTTTGTATATACTACTATAACAAATAGATTTTGCAGTACAGATGCAGTATGATGGGGATGCAGAAGGCTGTACGCATCGTACAGAAAAAAAATTGTACGATGCGTAATAAAGTTGTACGGCGGCCAGCTCTGTAACAACTTCGTACGAGAACAAATGCAGTCCAAGATTCGAGGGTATTCACTTCATGTTAGGAATGTGAAGTCGTGCTGAACTGTGTTTAAGGTATCATGTCACCATCTCTGAGATTGCGTACTCATTCCACCAAGGGACCATGGGCGATGATGGACAAAGACAGGGAAAAGGGGCAAGTAAACAACAAGGGGGTAGGGGGTAGGGTAGGGGGTGTGCACGAAATGGGCACTGTTGGTCAAAGCTTTCAGTTTGCGAGGGTCACAAGCCAAACGCTCCGTGAGTGACCTTTTCACCCACTGCAACTGCATTACAATTCCCCACGAAATTGTCAGAATCGATGCCTCTGCAGAAGACAGAGGACGAACTTTCTCTACACTACAAAAACAACCAACCACATGAGCTAACGTAAGAAATTCTGCAAGCAACCCCTCAGCCCCTCCAAGCTTTTCTCATGGACCGGGCACAACTTGAAATCTGCACCTAGTTTACGGCTTACAGTTACGAAGAGAGGAACTGGACCCCTCCTCCGTTTTCCCACTACAGCGTCTTCCATCTCCACTGCGCACCGTTTAACGTTCCCGCGTTCTTCCCGCCGTCCACATCACTCCGATCGACCACAGCAGAACCCGAACATAAGGTATCCACCTTTGTTTGCACCACGGGTCGGGTCCGCCCCGCCGTGCTTACCGGAGTTTTATGTGGATATATGCAGCGGCCTGCCTCGGGGACCTCGGCCGGTGACGGCATGGAAGGTTCCAACACAGACAAACATGTACAAGTAACCGGCATTGACTTGGCCGTTTGTCGTCCGATGGATGGAAACCGATGATAAGAGTGAGTGTCAATTAGATAATTGCAGTGTACAAACCGCAGAATCTACCATCTCGAGCCGGACCGGAACTTAACGAACCACAATCACCATCAATCATGACAGTGATCATCAAACATCAAAACGCCCCGGCACCGGCACCGGGCACCTCGGACCACACCACACCACACCACCATAAAATCTACCACATGGCGGGAATCGGGAGACCGGCCCAGAATAATGGGTAAGGAAGGCAATTGCATATCGCATCGGAAAATGTGATCGATCACCGAGCTTTCATAGCGAACCTTCAGCCTCTCCATCGTGAAAACCCTTACATGACATAAACAATGACAATATGCAAAGCAACCTCAACCTCCAGTTCTTGAGCCATCTTTGAATCCTCACTGGTCCTTTCCCTGGCTCTTGGTTCAATCAAGGACAGCAAAGCACGGAAGCAAAGACCAAAAAGAGATTTCCTTGCATCGTTAGTAGCGGAGTTTGAATCGTGGATTTCTTTACGACTTGCATACGCAGCCTGTTGGGTGGATGAGTGGGCTGAAGCCTAAGTGGTGTTAACGGTAACGGTAGCAGTAGCGTAGCGTAGCGGTTCAAGGGGTCGGCATATGCATGCATGCATGCACTTATGCAATGCAAGCTGCAAGACAAGAGAGAGAAAAACTAAAATCTGAAACGACGTTTCAGGTTTTTTTGAGGCCTGAGTGGTTGGGTCCATGAGGCAATGGAATGGAGTCGCAGTGGAAATGTGGAATGAGAGTCGAACGAACGAACGAACGAGAAACATTCGTCCAATCCTGAATCCGCAGGTGATGATGTTTCAGAGTTTCAAGATGCGGATGCTCGCAGCAGTGCAGTCAAAAGGAAGGAAAAAAATGAAGAGGCTGGGGATGGATGGATGGATCGTCATTATGGATCACATGCATCACGATGGATCATGATGGTGAATCTGGGATGTCTACCTAAGAAAAGGCAAGAAAGAAGGGAGAAAAGTAGATATGAGAAGTGATAGAGTCATGATACAGTTCATGGCTACGGTGGCATCGGATCCGGAGATAAACAACGAAGACTGATGGCAATGGCGGCGGCAAGGATGACAACCGAAACCGAAACAACGATAACAACGACAACGACAAAACGATCATCAACGATGACACTCTACAATATCACGGTATCTAAATAACCCATGGAGATAACACAGATGCTTGCGATATCCACAATAGCAGGTAACCTCACGCCGAATGATGCCTACTTTGACGTTCAGTATTTTGTAGAAAGAATACTCACCACTCCTTTCCCCATTCCATCGCATTATTGTTTCTTAACCAATATACAACCAAAAGCGACTGCATCAACATTTGACAGTTGAAATTCGACACATGACACTGGCCATGCACCCCTACACCCGCCTCCCCGCCTCCCCGCCTCCCCATCTTCTCTCAATCCTCATTGACATGATCTGCCGTTTCGATCGATTCGCGAACCGCACCGCACGCAGCATTGCAACCCCATCGCTGCCCGGTCTCGAAAAAGACACCCGCTTCTCCCGATACTCGACCCGGTATAATAACGACGATGACAATGATATCGATAACGACAGATGGCAGGACGTCCTAGACTTATAACAGCATGTCTCTTCCCAAGGGTTCACACAGGTATTGGTAAAGCACATCGCAACTCAGTAGTATCAGGCAAGGTATCAGGCATAAAAGGCTGGGTATGTACATGCAGCCATCTTGATATTCAACTTGGTAGTCTGAGTAGTATATAACGTTGATGTACAATGTGTACTCAAAATGCTGCTCCGCTGTACCCGACTTTTCTCATCCACTTATGTCTTATGAACGGGACCATGACATTTCTTTCCCTTCCTGAGTCGCAGTAAATTCCATCCTACCTCTGCGCTTGACGTCCGATCTAATAGACAGGTCGGTAAGCTCCTCTTGCCTCTATTGTTCATGCTCACATGAGCACGATATGGGTGCATTCCAGAGTCTAGACCAAGAAGCGACATGTGACGGAAGACATCAATCATGTCAATGTCGGCAAGAGATTCCGATACGCAGTACACTAGTAGGTACACGTACTAAATTATCAGCATACCTTACCTTACCTTACCCAGCAAAGGCGCACCAGGATCCAACAGGGATCCATTCATAAGCGAGTAGGATACCTTATAGGAAAAAAAGTAGATGTCACCATATGGTATGTGTATGACTGCGTCCAGTGGGCTCCTAAGGTTCGGCAACTGTCACTGGAGCCAAGTGAAGAGCTCCCTCTGTCCAGGTCGGTCGATGGCCGCGACTGAGAAGCAAGATCGAAAAAAGCACGAGCTCCGAGTTCCGCTGGCGATCCTGATCCTGATCCTGATCCTTCCCGATCCTGCACTCTTTGCAGCGTTTGTGTCTGTCTGTCTGACACCGCAAACCACACAACACGAGACCATGTGGCCAGTGGTGCGGTTACTGTTGCCGAATTTGTTTTCGTTGGTCCTGAGTTCTGAGTTCTGACATGCCTAGTATCCATGTGTAGGTAAGGTATGTTCTAAACCTCCGCTCCGAAACTATGGTCATGGTCAACCATGTCGTGATCATAAACGTAACTATTGGTGCTGTCTTGTAATATCTGGTAAATGTGTTATGGGATATCATTTTCCTCCGTTCCTCAGTTGTGGTAAACTAAAACCAAAAAAGCAACAACGCTGAAAGTGTTTCAGATCTTCGCCGTTGAGACCAAGTGTCTAGAACAGGTTCTTTTTGGGGATTCTTTTCGCACGGTAAACCTTGTTCTTGCTCCGTCTTTTCGCTACCTTTAGAAAGTTCAAAAACAAGTCGATGACTACCTGGACCCCCCTCCTTCGGTGCTACTTCTTTTTCCCGGGGTCATACTTTTCCTTCCAGATCCTAGTGTACGACGATAGGTTAGTTACGGTGGACGTAGTGTGAAACGGTGGGTGGTGGGGTGCAAGTGTCAAGATTAGAAAAGGGTTCCGGATCTGCGTGAATGGAGAGGAAAAACGGTGTGATGTGCTCGATGACCGGTTAACGTTGGAGGTCCAATTTTAGACAACAACATAGCTGTTGCCGGATCACACCCCTTTCTCAACATGATACTTCTTCAGGAGGCGGCTGAGAGGAGACCACACAAGGCCATGCACAACACGGTGGCATGTGAGAAACAGGGCGAGCAGAAATGCTTGGTCACTGATGTCCCAGGGGAGGACCAGCAGCCTGTCACACTGCCAGTTTACCAGTCATTTCTGAGAGACCCTGCGTGCGGCTTCGGAATGTCCCGATACTCGGTAACTGTCGTCATTGGGTTGCGTCGGGGTGTTGTTGATGGGATGAATGCGGTCGATGCTAGGCAAAAGACAGATGAGAGCGCTTACCAGGTATTGCCCATGATCTTGTTCCCGTTCTTCTCCGCCAGGCGGTAATATTTTGCGGCGGTGTACTAATACGGAGATATTGTTGGTCAGCCTTATGTGTGATATATCTCTTTGAAACGGTCAAACGAGGTGAATCTCTCATCCGATTTGCCCTGCTGACCAAGCCTCATTGATGCCCAATAGTTGCACAAGAAAGCAATAGTCCACAAGGCTGTTCCGAGAAGAAGCAAAATGTCGTGGTCGGTAGATGATGGTGGATGGGTGTCCGCAATAATACTGACTTTGTCCTTTTTGGTGCCAAACCCTTCCAGGTAGCACCATGCTACTTCGTTCATGGCGTCTTTTCACGGTAACTGTGTTAGCCTTGGCTAGGTATAGGTACGTGGGAAACGTACCGGAATCTCCCAAATTCGCCGCTGTCTCGTAGTATTGTTTGGCGGCTATCGGATCCTTAGGGATGCCCCAGCCATGCCGGAAGCAGTTGGCCAGTTCGAATATGGCCAGGACGAGTTCGCCTTTGGCAGCGCCGCCTTTCTTGAGCCCAGCCTGGAGAGCAAGCTGTTCGATTTCGGCGGCGTTTGAAGCTGCTGCCGAGAGATATGTCACGGCTTTGGCTGCGTCAGGGGCGCATCCCCATCCGTGCCTGCAGTCGCGTTAGCGATGAATATACAGAAGCACCCGCATACGGTTGTCAAAGGCGTCACAGAGGCATTGCCGCAAGAGATGCAACAAACATGCTGGGCAACACAGCCGGGTCACTGCCTTACGAACGAGTACAGGAGACGGATGGAACCTCGGAGCGGAAAAGGTAAGGAGGCACATACCGCAAAGCAAGGCCGTACAGAACTTGGCTTAGGGGATTATTTGCCCCTTCAGGGTCAGCCAGTTTCCCGAATAGAGCAGTGGACTCCTCCAAATTTCCTTCTTCATGCAACTTGATGGCCTGCTGGATATCGTCATCGATAGCTTTGGACGAGACAGCTTTGGTCGCAGGCAGAGGAGGCGCGACAGCACCAGGCTCGTTCTTCAAAGGCCATTCTTCCGCTTCGGCGGTAACACTCCCAAGGCGCATACGAGCAAAGTCGTTACTAACGGTGCGGGTAGGGCTAGCCGGACGGGTCCCGGGCCGACTGCGAACCTCGGAGTTTTTGCGTGCCAACATGGTTGCGCGCTTTTCCCATTGAGCTTCTTTGCCCTCCTTATCTTCATCGCCGTCGGGGACCACGATAGCAGGCACTTCGGGCAGGTTCTGAGGCACATTCTCGGAGCTCACTGGGCTACGGTGTAAATGGAATCGTGACATGCGCCTGGCTCCGGGACTCTTGACGGTTGGGCTCTTGGGATTGCTGCTCATAGATTGGCTACGACTGCGATTGCCGCGGAAGACGTCCAGACTAAGGCGACCCCTCGCTGGTGTTCCTGCCGCCTCGGCGGACAGATGTGAATCGTGGTCGGCCTCATTCTCGGTTATAGGGCTCGCAGGAGGAAAGATCCTCTCCTCGGTAAACGTATCGGTACGGACGAACGTGATTTCGGGGGTATCGAGGTGCGAATTGGGAGGAGGGGAGTGCGCCTGGGCGACGCTCTCTTCGTGGCCGTGCTTCTTTTTCGCGAACAGGCCCATGATGATGTATAGATACAGTAGAGTAACGATTATGATTCAGAATATGGTGTCGGGTATCGATATATAGTCGGTTGGAGAATGCGATATAGACTACGAAGCGTAGTTGTAGGTAAAGATTGTTGTTGTCTGGAGTGTTGATATGTATGTAAGCGCCGCACGGCGTTCGAGTTGGTTGGGGGCTGAGAGAGACGACGACAAAGAAAGCGAATGGTGGTGGTGGTGGTGGTAGTAGTGGTTATATCCAAGAAGGCGATCGATGGTTGACAAAGATGAGGTGTCGTCGTTCGGGAGAGCGGCAGTGCTGTTGGCTATAGATTCACGAACTGAAAACCCGAAGAAGAAGCTTGTGTAGATATGGGTTCTGTGCCCGGCGCCATCGGAAAGGACGTAATCTTTCAGCTCGTCGGCGGGTTAGAGGCATCATTCCTAGGACGGGGAGGGATCTGGGTTCGGTTCGCGACACGCGGAGATTGGACGAGGTCCCCAATGTCCAAATAGTTCTAGGCTGGCGCAGACTGGCAGGCATAGGGCAGGCATCTCCAACTTCCCCCTCCACCGTAGTCAGGCACCGCTCGAAGGGGTAAGGGTCTACCTTGAGTAGGACAGATAGCGGGGCTTAGCCGCTATATTTGGGGTTTCTTGGCGGCTCTGGGGAAGGGGAGGAACGTTTGGGTGCAGGTCTTCCGCGGCGCATCCTCCAGGCTTGGGCGTTGGTTGGCCCGGGCTCACTTGCCTTCTGACTTCAGTTGCGTTTCATGGTAACATTGGCAGGCGCAGTCCGATGAAGCCTTCAATCCTCTTTGCCTTTTCGTCCCATCTTATCTCTAAAGTCTCTTCAACCTGTTCTTGCTTCTTACTCGGCGTCTTCTCATAAGTCATTGACTTTCGTGACATGCTATCAAGTCTGGCACGATTTTTGCTGAAGCTGGCCCCGTGGTGCTACGTTATGGTGAAGGCACACGAGACATGCCTTGAGAGAAGGGACGTATCTTCCGGATGCTGCGAATACCCAGGATGGCAAGTATAGCTGGACCAAGCAGAACGATTGTCCAATGTTATGATGAGCGTCGTTGATACTGACAGCTAGATGGGGCAACGCCAACAATGAGTTGTGCCTTTCAGCGAATAATCTACAGAACGGACTCCCAGATGCTGCTTCACATGTTCAGCATTCCGATATCAAAAACATTCATTCATGCGTATTATTTAAAATTCGATGTCCTTCCTCACCACTTGAAGCCTTTTCGAGTTTTGCCGAATATTGAGTTGCAATGTTGGAAGTGGCTGCTCAGCCAGTCAAGATTTGCGCTATGAAATTATCTCCACAGGAGCTACCCCACACAGCGAAGAAAGAGGCTTGCCGAACTGTTTGCAATGCTTACTTACCTTTTACAAACTTCCGTTTCCTGGTGCTCGGCATCGTGAACATCCAAGTTTCTCACGATGCTCATCGATATTATCACCGACTGGTTTGTTGCTGAATCACAAAAGGTGAGGCGTCTTCAAGGCTGTGAACGAACATCTAGCTAACTGCAAGCCTTAGCAGATTCGTAATTGGTTCCCACTTTGCTCGGACAGCTATTGGACATAGTCGAAAAGTCTAAGCTTGTTCTGGAATAGCGCCACTAGTCGAACGTCGGACAAGCAAGCACGCAGCCAAAACACCACCGGACCGCCGACAATTCGACCATGAGCCAACGCGTCGGTGTACTGCATAGGCTCTGCTCTCTTTACACTCCATGAACAATCTGTCACATTGAAGACTGCTTAATTCCCGAGCAGCTCATAAAAACAGTGGTTATGGCGCCCAGGAAACCTCCGCCGCCCCCGGTTGTGCGCTTGACCGTCAAAGGAGTCCCAGCAAAGAGGCGTGGCCCAGCTCCAAAACCATTATCAGAACGACCTTGGACGGCCCCAAAGCCTGTCAGAAGGGTCGAACGCTCTTATACCAGGGAGCGCAAGATCGAGGTTCTGCAATTCCTGCTAAACCATCGGATTGCCGATTACCGTCCACGCAAGGCACCTCGTCGTCGAATCGGCCAGCCGGCACATGAACAGGAGCCCGTCCCCCAAACTTCGACTCGCGATGAAAATGGACAACTAGTCTGGTATCGTGCTCCTACTTATGTTGAGGCTTCCGAGTGGTGGAAGATTCCCATTCCGACCATCCAAGGATGGTGGGACAACCGCGAGAAAATCCTAGAGGGCACAGGCATCGAACTGCCCAAAGCAAATCCAGGTGATTCTCCGGGTACAGTTTCTGATCAGCCAAGACCGGGAGATCGCGTTGAGTTCACCGTCAATCCGCAAGCACCTCCGTCGGCATCTCGAGAGGGATCTGAACAGTCACAGCCTCGACCGCAACCACAACGCCAACCGACTGCGTCTTCAACTGGTGGAAGTGTGAGGGGATCTCAGCAAGGAGCCGCCAGGAACACTCATGCTCGTGCCATCTCAATTTCTTCCAGTTCCACCACGCACCCGCCGGCTCCAAGCACACCCGCTGCCAACGGTCCTGTTGTTGTACAACCTGGTCAGCAACTCAATAGACCTCCGGCCCAGTGGACGGTGAACAATCACCCATACACTGGTCGTCCCTATACAGAGCCCTCCTATTCTCAGATGCCCCAGCCTCAACAGCCTCAGCCTCCATTTTTTAACCCTTACGCGCCCAAACCCAATCAAATCCCTCCGCAATATCATCAACTACAACCCGCGTATCCTCCGCAAGTGGCTCATCATCAGCCACCCCCGGGATACCCTCATCAGCCGGGACCGCCCCAATTCAACCCTCAGCATGGCTACGGCCAGCCTCCTCCTCCTCCTCCTCCCCCCTCACTATGGTCCTCCGCACCAAGCTCCCCATATGCCAGGTCCTCCTCGTGGCCACCCCGGCTACCCTCCATATCCCCAACCAGGCCCAGGAGGACCAGGATACCCACCTCATCAAGGTGCACCATACCAAGGAGGACCTCCGCCACAGCCTCACCCGGGAGCCCAACAGCCACCATATGTGTTCGGACCACATATCCAGGTGCCAATGATAGTTCAGTTCCCCCAATTTACGCCCTATTATGCCACTCCCCAGGCGCCTCCATACGCGCAGCCATCCGCACCTCCTCCCAACCCTCCGCCTCAACCACCTCCGTTTGCACCGTTTGCACCGGGCGGACCGGGGCAATTCCAGGGCCCGGCACCACCGGGAATGGTACTAGCCCCGCCGTTTCCAGGTCCGAGAGAGGTTAGGCCGCCCATGCCAGCTCCCCCTCAGCCTGCCCCTGGTCCTGTAAACGCAAGTTTCAGCACTCAGCCGCCTCAGGCGGCCGGTTCCGATCCAGCCCCGAATCCCCCGGTGACTCCTCCGAGACAACAGCCTGCGGGACAACCATCAGATGCACAAGAATTACAATCCGAGTCAGACGAAGCGTCGCCAGCTGGTCAGCTATTGGCCGAACAAGAGGCAAGGAATACGGTGCAAGAAAGCCGGAGCCGGGACCAGTCGGCTGGCCAACGGCCAGCCGAGTCAATCCCAGAGGCTGAAGCGGCATCGAAAGACCAAGACCAAGAGATGGGCGATAATCGGGATAAGCCTCAGAATCAGGATCAGGAGCAAGATCAGGAGATGGGCGAGGGCCAAGAAGAACAAGACGAAGAGCAGGACCAGGACCAGGACCAAGAGCAGGACCAGGAGATGGATCAAGACCAGCAGGATCAAGAACAGGAGATGGACCAGGATGTGGACCAAGAGATGGCCGAGAAGATGGAGAAAGAAATGTCCCAAGAGCAGGAGGAGCAGGAGAAGAAGAAGGAGCAGGAACAGGAACAAGATCCAACTGCAGACGTCTCCGCCAGCGAAGAAGCCGACAAAGATGACGATGACAACGTCTCAAAGGAGACCCCTGAAAAGCCACAGCAGGATGGAAGCGCAGCCGTGGATTCTGCACCAAAAGACCGGTCCAAGAGCACATCCCCAGTGTCGACAGCTACCTCTCCCGCGTCAGAAGAGGAAGCCTGATGGCCATAACTGCCATCGCCGAGACAGTGTGAACAGCATGATATTCGTCCCTTGGAGAAAGGCCACAAATTGGAGCCACAGAGAAAAAACACAGTGGCAGCATAAATACACCTGAGCTACGACTAAGCGATCAGATGATGAAATTACGATATTAGAAGCCGAGAAAAGCAAAGGAGAGAACATCATTTTGGATTATCGGGATATGCGGATATTGAACCAAAACCAAAACGTCAATATATACAATTGGTCTTTTCCATCAATTGTCCCCGTTTCTCGCCTTCGATTCTGACGGTGATCTAAACAGTAATAACGGAGTCAAGGGCCGACAGGCAGGAAAGTTATCCCATACGAAGCCCGATGGCTGGTGAAGAGTCGAGGTATTCAATATCTCAAGATGGATCGTGAGCGGATGTCTGTTTGTTGTTTGACTCTAAACATCGGTCCCAAATACATGCGCCCATGGTTGTGTCCTATAACTATAGGATCGGACGACATGGTCAAACTTATTGTAATCCTCGCGGTCTCAATAGTTCCTGGGTCAAGGTTGCGGAAAGATGAGCGAGTGACTGTTCCTTCCATCTGACCGTCGAATACCGTTCACCCACATGAAGTGAAATCAATCACTCGCCCTTCCTTCGTAGGAAACCAGACAAATCCACATATTTATTGTCCACATCAACTACAAGAAGCCTTTTTTCACGCTTCCTCGACAACTTCAAGATTTTGTGATACCTGAAGAAAAGTCAAGTCCTCGACCACGAACCGCTCAAGCCAGCTCCGCTCTGCCCTACCTCCATCGCGCTTTCCCCAGAAATCAAGAAGCGAAAACAACCTCATAGCAAGCAGTCAGTCACGACCGCCACGCAGCGGTCAACTGTCTCTCACCTCTAGAAGACAGAGGTACCTTGGGTTTATACCACCCGACAACATCACACGCCATTCGGGGAGACAAAGCAGTCGTTTGAGAACACCCAACCTTCATACCACCACCACCCCCACCACCACCACCACCAGTACCCAAACCGCAGCCGGCAACAAAAAGAAAACATCACAACACAATGTGCCAAACAGCCCTCTACAAAGACGCCCAATGCAAACACCGCTGGATGAGGATTTCTTTTGCCTGCTTTCCCGGAGCTGGTTCACCACTTGTCCGTCTTTTTCCTACAATAATACTCACAACCGCAGCAACAGCTACAGCTACAACCACAGCTACAACCATCAACATCAACAACCTCCCGGTCTCAGTCTCAACGACGGTCTCTGCCACCAACCCACCTGTCCTTACCAGCAGCGTCCGCACCGTGACCATTATACCCCCAACCTCAACCCCAACCACAACTCTGGTGCTCCTTTCTCACATACTTTCGCCCCGTCCTCCTCTATTCAAGGCCCAGGCCCAGGTCCAGTTCAAGGTCCAGGTCCAGTTCAAATCCAAGCTCAAATTCAAGGCCACAACACCTGCAACATCTACCTTCCCAACTCCACCGGTATCTCCCCGTACCAGACCCATCAAATCCAGCATAACTGCCCCCACCACCAAAACCTAGTAGCCAAGCCCGCCCCGCCCGCTTACATAGCCAGGTCCGAGCCGTGCCCGGTGTGCGACTTGGGCGGGGAGTATGATCGCAACCAGATCCGGATGATTACTGGGATCAGAAATGGGGTGAAACTGGGTGGTGGGCCGAGTGGAGGGGATCCGGGGGTGGAGTTGAAGTGTTGTGTTATGTGAGTTTGGGTTGGGTTGGGGGGGGAGGGGGGAAGGGTTTTGGGGATGGAGGTTGTCGGGAGGACACTGGATCCAGAGAGAAGGCCCAAGTGGGAGAAAGGGAGAGGGGAGACGGGAATCCCGGTGAGAGGGTGAAAGGGTAGGCAAGATTTGGGTGTGAAAGATGGGGAAAATGGGACATGGGTCACGGAATATGAACGACAAAAAGGTTCGGGAGAGGGAAAGGGGGCAATATGGTCATTCACGTACGTACGGGGGCTGGAATATTCCGAGAAAATGGGTGGGCGGGTATAGACTTTGCTGCTGCTGCTTTTCCCACCTCCTCCGGTGGACAATATATCGTCGTCTATCTGTTTTGTGTTACATAAAATAGTTGATTCCCGGTGGCGGTTTGGGCGCGCCTTTCTCTCTCCCCTTCCCGCTAGCAAAGTGATTTTCAAATCCTGTCCAGAACGCCGCAACAAAATCCCAATGCTCTGCCCTCTTCTGCTCCGATCCGATGGATGTTGGTGGTGGTGTTTATGTGTTGTAACATTCGATGCAAATGAGGTTGTATCTTGAATGTGTCGCTCATCTAAAAGAAGATCTGGGACGTTTGCTTCCTCGATTCTTGTGAGGGAGGCAGGCACACCCATCGTTCGTTTTTCTTTTGTCGTTCCGTCGCTTGTGCCACCGGACATTATTTCGGACTGACTGGTGGCCTTGATGATCTTCCCAAACAAACACGGTCAAGCCGGTATCGACCGAAAGGGGAGCGGGCATAACGAACCGAAAAAGAATTCCAACCAATTAACCGTAGTATAGCATCGTATCGTGTGTCTTCTGCTGAAAAATCTCTAATTCGTACGTCTTTTGTCGTCCATCGTCTAGAGAAGACGCAAACGCCGTGGCTGGCTGGCTGGCCGATTCCCAAAAAAGAAAATGAGATCGATCCGCTTTAGCCACGGCCACGGCCGCGACCGCGACCCATTCCCCTTCCTCTGCCACGGCCACCACGGCCACCTCTGCCGGCGGCGCTGCGGTCCGCTTCCTTTCTCGCCTTGTTCTTGGGCTTCACGGAGTCGTCGACTAGCAATGTATCGAGCGGCAGGGAATCGGGGAGGATGAAGTAACGGATCGTCGAGCCCCTGTTAGGATTTCCAACACAGTTAGTGATGTCCCCTCCACCAAAATGAAAGCGCCACTCCTCCTCTAATCTCGCCCGACGACCTGACTTACCTGATGTTCATGGCATCCAAAGCCACAGCGTCCTGGCCCTTGGGGGTCATCTTGACGTTGCGAAGCGCAGTGTCCATGCGGGGTGTGACCGAGGCGATAGTGCCGTGTACAATTGTGCCGTTCTTCAACTCAATCGTCACCGTCTCGTTGGCGCATTTCATCAAAAATCTGTAGTGTTGAAGCAACGGGATTCCATTTCGTCAGCCTGGTGCCCTTGGTGTTCTGTTTCTAGTAGAGCAGCATGGACGCGCGCGAACACGGGCTGGCAGCCTTGAAGGCGAGGATTCAAAGCTCAGCATGCGTCGTGCAAGAGAATGGGATTGAGGATCGGGTGGGATGGGATGGGGAGGTATTGGGTGGATGTAGCGAAAGCATCAGGAAGCAAGGAGAAGTCTTACCTGACCAGCTTCATCTTGGCTTATTTGGACGACGCGTAGCTGAATATGTGTTGTATTGAATTGGTGGTGACGAGGTCTCGATTATCAGCTTAGGTTGTTACTTTATCAGTCAATTAACAGTCGCGACGGGAGAAGGCTTGTCGAGCTTCCTTGGACGCTTGGACAACCATCCAGGCGTCAGGGTGGAGCGGGTAGCCTGCCGTCACTTCGCGCCAAGACATAGCTCGTGTCCAGTCACGTGCGGCGAAACGAAAAGGATAACCAGCGGCCGAAACCCCTAACCCTAGAAGTCATCGTCTCGGTTGTCTATTGTCCGCCGACGCCTAATCTGTTCATGTGCCGAGTTGAGCAACCAAACCACTGGGTACACAAGCCATATGAGATATCTATCATGCCAAATAACAGACATTTGTTTACCTTGCCTTTTGCCCAGAAGCTGTAGCTATAATTGCACAAGTCATGATGCTTCATGGCAGGCTGAGGACATGGAACGAACAGCGGGCTTACAGCCTCCAACTGCCCATCCTTTTATCTTGTACAGAATGGATAAAAGGGTCTATATGTAAATGCCATCGTCGCTCAACTCCAACACGAAAGCACACCCAAAGAATATTTACAGGATGCCATGGTAGCTTCGCTAAAGTGACTCTCGCATGCACGCCCTGAGTGTAGTCGTTTCCTGCCCAGTCGCTGGGATATTCACTTATCCTTGTCGTTCTCATTCTCCGAAACCTTCTCCCACTCATCCTCCGTGCTGACGCTGCTCTTAGCGCCCAGGCTCGGTGTCTCGTCGACCACTCTGTGCTTCAGTTCTCCAACCGGCTGGATGGGCTCAACCACATGGCTGACCGCCTCTGCAATTGACTCCTGCTTCGTGAGGCTAGCTGTTGATGTAGCTGCTTCCACTTCTGTCTCGCTGTCTTCCGATGTGGCTGGAGCCGGCGCTGCTTCTTTGGCTCTTCTCGCCTTTTCTTCTTCTTGGATTTGGTGCACCTTCAGTTCCGCCGCAAACCAGTTGATGGATACCCAAAGTCCACCGCAAAGGGCTGAGAGAATCACAAAGTGGATGCTCCACGTCGCAAAGAGGAGGCACGCCAGGACGATTTGCAGAGCGGCAAAGGTGACGTTTGTCGCAATAAGGAGGGTGGGAGTCGGCCCCGGAGTGAAGATCGACTCCCAGAGGTTTGTGGCGAAGGACGTCATTGGGAACGTTGGGCTGGCGCTATGCCGGTGATAAAGAGCTTGATCGGGAGAGTATAGCGAGTAGAGAGAAACTCTTGTTCTCGATTCGTGAACGGTGCGCCTTGGAAGCGATAGGGACAAACGAAGAGACAAACGCGCGGTGATAGTCAATTGTTCGTAGCGTGTGCTATACTTGACGAGAGAGTCAGTTACGGCCTTGCAACCTTTATAGATGATGGAGGACAGAAGGCGGGGGACGGATGGAGGATGTGTAGCTCAGCCCGGCAAAGCCCATAGGGCCGATGAGCCGGTCACCCGCTGAGAAACAGGGCCATGGTTGCCAGATCACAAGACACGGTTGGCCTTCAACTACTGACCTATTCTAATTGTGAAAGGTGGCCTTTGATGGCTCTGACACGTATCGTTTATTGCAGGCTACCACCGGTGCAACGAAATAGAAAATTGTCGCAGAAGGTGATCGTTGTAGATCAGATGGAAATATGCGCGGTATGCAGCAATCGATACCAGAGGTCTGGGCGTGCGTAAACGGCGTGCGTAAAGTATGGTGGCCAGCTGGGAGTGCAGCACTTGAGTGAGGCAATTAAAGAAAACAATGTTTGGGAGAGAAGGATATGGTCCGAGAAGCGGAGGTATTGTGATGATTGTCAAATTAGTTTGGCAGTGTCGCGAGTCTGGTAACTCTTGCCCGAATTCCAGTTCATGGCAGAGGTTCGTGACGTGACGACTGGACGGCGGGGAAGGTGTGGAAGCTCGAATGGACATGGTGGGGTATTTCTAGGTATCCACATTTCCAGGCTGACGGGGTGGGCCTTGGGCCAGGAACGGAGCTCAACTTCAGGCTCCACTATTATCCCTCTTGAGAAAGAAGCCTAACCCACGAAGCCATCACGGACTCTCAAACATCATGTCCAAACCCCCATGTCTGGCAACAAAACACGTCAATAGTAGAGACTGAATCCTCAATGAAAGGTGCCGTAAGTTACCGGGGCGAGCTCTCATGCTGATGATACTCACGAGGTTGCAGCGAAGACTACCGAATCAGTCAACAGTCTTGAGCAACCACTATCTACTCAAGGCAGTGTAGTACTTCTGAAGATATATTGATGGACATGGGGTCTAGTTTCCAACTGGCAGTACCGTCGTTTGACATACGTATTACCACGAGTGTCCTGCCCAGGATGGGTGATGAGGACACTTATGTCTAGAGATGCTCTGCGATAAGGAAGCGTGTAAGTCACTAACAACTTTTTATGGCTCAAGGCTTGACATCCGTTAGGGTCCATACCATGCTACTAACACTTTTCAGCAAGACACCTTCGGTGATGCATCACTTCCTCGGCAATGGAAACAAGCTCAGACTATCACAGACGAAGTAACACTCAGGTGGCTCCTGATGACTTTAGCTTTCCCAGGCATATATAACTTGCAGAATGTTCGCAAAATAAGCCTAACCTGGCCAGTCCCATGTCGCTCTCTTCGGTGACGAGATGCCGACTACAAACCGTGATTTACCTTGCAACAATGTTAGAGGCACGTTGGTCAGAGTCTATCGCATTCCGATGTTTTGTTAAAATTGACTTTGAGGTGTTCACTTGTTTTTTTCTTCGTAAGGTAAATGCAAATCCTGAATATCTACTTCCAGATTCTCAACCTCGTTGAGAAAAGTTCTTGGATAATTCGGGAGAAACTGCTTGTTCTACCTGTTCGCAAATGTAATAAAATAGTTGGGAATGTTAGTGTCAAAGTGCCAACCGCACCGGATATGCTGCATGAGTACAACTTCGAGGAAAATGGGCTTCCGATGCCTGCTTTATCATGACCAGTCCCGCACGAGTTCCCTTGCATTTCATGCACGAGGGCTCAACTCATAGGCTTTTCTTGCTTCCAAGCTTGGGCATAATGAGTAGAGCACGGTTTCTAGCAATCTGTTCAGATGTTGATGATCCGCAGATTCCTATAAAAGTCCCAAGCCCCCCCCTTTTTTTCCCCCTTCCCTTCTCATTCTTTACGGCATCATTCCAAGAAACGTACAACAGTCATCCCCATACCATCTTACCTGCTTAACCAAATATTCAGGTATCTACGAGATTACCGACCAGGAAGCCTCACTTCACAATAGGTAGGTGCGCGTCAACCACCATACAGTCGTTTACTCCTGAAACTTTAGCCAAACACATAAACAAAACGCAAAGATATTTCCTCATACCATTGTCTTCTTCAGGCAAGTACTGTCAGTGTATCACAAACTCAGCAGACCATCAAAGAATCAAGAGAACAGCACCTACACTCGCCTCAAAATGTCTTCACAAGAGACCCAGTCCAACGGGCCCGGCGCCCCTTCGTTTTCCGCCCGTCTACAAGCAGCAGCCGCCCTGACAACCATTCTCTCGCTCCACAAAATCCCACATTCCTTCATTGGCGGCTTTGCGTTCAACTTGCTCGGCACCTCCCGCTCCACCCTCGACATCGATCTGATCATCGAGGACTCTGCCTTCTCTCCCGACCCTCCCAGTGCAAACACTCCGAAACCGCCCAAATCCCCCGAGCCCATCCATCTCATCCGACAACTGCTCGTCGACTCGGATGAAAGATTCAGTTTGGTCGGGGGCGGCCTCATCCCGAAACTCGTCTTCACGGCACAAACGGAGGCGAAGAAGAGCCCGGTCCCCGTCCCCGTCGAAACGCTTCGCGCCGACTCCCTCGGTTTGCCTCGACATCTCCGTCAAGATATGACTGTATGCGGAATCTCCGTCCTTCCTCCTCGGTTTCTCCTCCTCACCAAAATCAAACGCCGCACCAAATTTTTGGGGAGCGACTGGCCCAAGTCGGTCGAGCGGTTCAAGTCCGACGAAGGGGACATCAAATATTTATTGAAGTGGCTGGCCAACGAGAACGAGAAGGTGGATTTTAAGGGGTATTATCATGGTAGTACAGGAGCCAAAGTCTATGACGATGAGTCCACGAAAGCTGTGGACAACTTGGTCCAAAAGGTTGGAGAGTTGGTTCGGATTTGGAGGGGGAAGGGGGAGGACGAGCTGGAGACGCTGGAGGACTTGGAGAAAGTACTGGAGGAGGAGGACTGGAAGAGGGGTTTGGAGCTAAGCGATAGCCACTACTAGCTTTTCTATTTTCCATCAATATTGAATTGACACATATAACGCGTTTGTGGGGAGCTTCAAAAGGAATACGTGTGTTATGGCCGACGTCGAAGGTTGCAGTTCAGGTGTAAGTGATAAACTGATAGCGACGACCGAATTTGGAAAGGTTCGGTCCAATGATGATGGATATTTGGTGAGACGCTAGGCAATATTGGATTTAGCCTGCCAAGAAGCTCAACGTCAAGCACAGCATCTCCCTGCCTGCCCTGGCTCACTCCCACGAGAACTCCAACAACTGCTTCCATTTCACTTTCGTCCCGTCTGCTTCACTCCTTCCATTTCACCTCAAACGACAGACCTATTGAGGGGAGCTCTAGATTTTTCGTCTCGACCTATCTGCCTGATGCCCCGCCACTTCCCCTACAAAATGCCGCCTTCCCCAGCTTTTATTTGAAATCGAACCAGAGGTGGTTCTTGCAACCCCGCAACAACTCCTGTCAGCAGCATCACTTCCATTCTTTGGCACCGCAGCATCGGTTTTGACGCCCACTGCGTAATATTTGTCCTTAGTTCTCCTCCATACCTCCTGCGGTTTACCTCCAACACTTTGGGTTTCTGAGGCGCCGTGCTCACCCTTACCGTCGTTCTTGCACCGTCTAAGCCGACTGGATGGTCACTAGGCTTGGTCAACGGAAGACGGCGTGGATGTGATAGACTCACTTTGTGTTCACTGAGCAAAGTCCGCCATGACAGCTACCAACCTCGCAGGATGCGACGATATAAGCGTGTCACCGGAAAGAAATCTCGGAAAAATCATGGGGAAGCTTGGGTCAACGGCCCCCGAAAAGCAGACAGCCATTTGCGAGCTGTCGCGACCGCTGACACTTCTCGACCTTCCGAATGATATTTTGGAACTGATTTTGAAAGAGATACACCGAGTGTTCGATCGTGAAATCTTGCTTCCTCCCATTTACTAACCAATACATGCGATTAATAGATCAAAAACAACAGTGATTTAACGGCGCTTGCCCGCACACACTCGGTCATGTTCGACGTCGCAATACCTGCTATATACTCGAGTTTTGTCATCCGTTGGCCGGATAGCAATAGTACTCGGTCCGATACACCAACCGTCAACGCTCCAACATCAGGTTTATCGACCCTCTGTCGAAATACGGACGTTTCTTTCGCTGCGATCATGACAGACAAGCCTGGGAGATCCGCAAGATTCGGCGGTAACAACTATGCAGAACACATCAAAAAGTTCTCCATCAAAGATGGACCCATACAATGCATTGAAAACTACGTCATCACCAAGCCGGACGGAAAAATGGTTAACACTCTGGTAGCATCGGCAGTCGCGAAGATGACGAACCTTGAGTCATTCAAGTGGGACATGTCGACCGGAGTCCTGTCTGACAACTTTATGGCGTTGGCTTCTCTCAGTGGTTGGCCAAACCTCGAATCCAGCAAGCTCAAAAGTGTTTGGATTAGGTGGCACGACACTTCCGAAGTGTCCCCCAACCCATTGCGTTCGACGTCCCCCGACCCATGGGGTTTGACCGATATTCCAGTTCCGCTGCCGACAGTTCAGGCGGGTAGTGTGATGACACCTATCGGCTGTAAGCCACCTAATTATGCCACGTACGATGGATCACAATCTACGTCAGGATACTCGCAATGCAGCTACGAGTATCCAACATTCAGTATTCTACCGCCTCTCAAAAGCCTGACGGTGTTAAATGTCGAAGAGCCAGCCTATTGGGACGAGATGGCGAACTTGATCGAACGGTCCAAGGACACTCTGGAGGAGCTCAGAGTAGGACTCTCACCACGAGTACAAGGGAGGAATTTCTTTATGGCATGGGATGGATCGACCCTCAAGCAGGTAGATCATCATGCAAAATGGCCAGGTGAATGTACCATTGGCGAGAGACGCTTAGGTGGTGTATTGGGCGTCCTGGTCGGCAAGATCGTCCGAAACGAAGAAGCACGGCACTACTGAAGTTTCGCACTCGGCGACAAATTCATCTGCCCAGCAAACACCTGTTTTCGAGTTGTCAAACCATCAGGCCTTTAAACCAGCATCGCCATCAGCATCTGCAAACGGAATATCGGCAAAATCAAGCCTGGATGAGATTCAGCTGTGTGATGGAAAGCTAAAGCTACGTGTCCTTGAGCTTGAACGAATGGCCTTGTCAATGTACGTACTGAGGTACGCATTTGACTGGTCAGTGCTGACAAGTTTGACGATCCTGCATTGTTTACACCAAGAGACAGTACGGGTGTTATTGCGAAGGCAGTTCCGACCCGAGCTTGTGATTCCTGACGTTGAGTCATATTTGGGTACATCAAGGGTCTCTCCAGCCTGTCTACGATACAAGCTCTCATTGAAGAAGATCCACACAGATATTGCCACTCCTGCTCTGATAGAGTTCATCAAGGAAACTCTCGCCCCAAACTGACTGGAAACTCTTTATCTACAGGATACGAGGTTGAACGGCCCCCCATCTCTAGTAACACTTCCAAAGATCTTCAAGGCAATCAAAGTACACCTTTCCAGCTTGCGCGCATTACTCCTCCACAACTTCAATCCCACTCCCCGTTCTAGCCGACCGCAATTGCGTGCTTGGTCACTTACATCCAATACGGTCCGCTTCATCACCTGCGGGGAAATGGTCAAGTTGAGGCAACTTTCTGTCTCGCTAAATTTCTCTGCTTGGGTATGTTCAACTGTGTCGTTCTGTGCATCCTAGGATTTCCTGTTCATTGCATACTAACAAAGCTACTATCACAGCATCAATTCCTCCAAGGCCTTCATAACATGCCCCAACTCCACGCAATCGACATTCCACACATCGCCGAATACGTCAAATCCAGTCAACGCCCGGACGAGCTACCCAAGTATATTGCCGACACGCTTACTCTGCGGCCCGTGTCCGTCCAAAAATGAGACGGTATCCGCAATACCTGCTTCGAGTTCTGGGAGCATCGCGGAGGAGATACCGACCACAGGTCAAGCGTCTTAGAAGCTGATTCCCCAGCTGCACCTCCCGAAAACGTGGGAGATAACGGGGTCAATGGAGAGCTCGGTAACAATCACTGGCCGTTCGAGAGTAACAATAGCTACAATAGTGAGACTGACGAAGACGACAATACTGGCGGAACTGAGCAAGACGGATTTCACATAGTCAATGATGATGATCACTTGGTGCACGGTGCGTCAAGCGATTCAGAGGATAGTGATAATGATGACAATGCCGGGGAAGAAGAAGACGGTTTTTGCGAGCCTGAGGGATAGGTGGTAATTCGTATCAAGAAGGTACCCTTTCCGGGGGACAGGGTTGGGATTATCAGGGCAAGGCATGTGAAGCTGTGATATAAGGGAAGATCTGGGTTATCTAGGAGGTCGTAGATGGTTTTCACTTAAAAAAAAGATCTGGAGGGCAGATATCGAGGCAAGACTGGTTGCAAATTAGACCAGATACAGATGCCAAAGTGTTCTTGAAAACGGACGGAGCATGGACGGTCCAATACGCCTGGCTTTGACTAGCAAAGGCTGTCGCAGAGCAGCTAAGGAATCACAAAGTATTAGAGATACATTAGACACAGTCCATCAGGGACACTTCTAGTTACAAAATGCCGAGAGAATGAGCTGAAAGCAATAATCAAATCGCTTCGATGCGTTGTGTACTGAAATCAACATGTTCCGTCTTAGACCCTTTGAAATGCGACTATAGCGAGCTTGTTACTCTGCGAGACTCTCCTAAGACGGTCCGTATTCATCCTGTCGGAGTCATAATGTTGAATGCTGCTAGCAGTCATATCGTGAAATGAACTCAAAGAACCACTTACTGTGCTCACCATAGCTGACAATAGACTTTCGGGATACCTGTTTCAGATAACCTACGTCCTTGTATTGCTTGCCCTCCTCTCCTGTCTGTCCCTTTCCCTCGCTATTGTTATTATCATCACGATCTCAAGATGGAACCCCTCGCTTTTTTGCCCAAAAGACATGTTCATTACTGCATGCAAGACCGGTTGGCTGGCCGGCAAATAAGCAGCAGTTCTGTCTTGTGATATCTAGTTGTCTGGGACAAGCATTCACAGAGCAGGCAGAGCAAACAAAATGTTATCCTTCTCGCGTCCCAAGCTTCTCAGTGCGCCAACCAAGTAATCGAACATTATGGTACCCACGCACGTACGTGCGCACGCATGCACACACATCCGTCTCACTTCTCACATCACCTCATTCACAATCCGTTTTCAATTAACCTTAGACGACCAACCAACCACACACGCACGACGGGAGCAGTTGAGCTGGCATGTCATTCGAATCAACCAAAAGGACCGACTGGTGCACGAAATACGAAGAAGGAAGGGAAGAGGGAAGAAGGAACAAATAAAAATGATCAAAAAGGGAGACAAAAGTGCAAAAAAAAGAGGTCCAATGTGGCCACAAAGGGGGTCGAACCCAGAGTCTGCTGCCCCGGCAGAGGGAGTATGCCTTCGAGATAGTATAGTGACGCATCGAGTTTCGGGGCTCCACTCCCTAGACCGCTCCGATAGGTGACCACGGAGAGTGGGCTTATGTAGGTACTTCTGGGAGCGGGTGCTAGTGCCTGGTGCCTGTTCTGTGCCGAGTTTGTTTGTTTGTGTGTGTGTGTTTGGACGAGACTCGAGTTGGGATGAAAGTATGGTGAGGTGTGTAATCTGATTTGACGAGCGGGTTGGGTGGTAGTCAGTGGGCGTTGGCCAAGAAGGTACATCTACGCAATGTAGCTGATGATGTGCCTGAAGGGAGGACGGGCAAGTGGTGGGTGTTGGCCGGTTCAGCAGGAAGTCGTTTCAGATGTGCTGTCACGTTTGTTTGAGGAATGGGGGATAGCAATGAAGACAATGAAGACGAGATACATTAATAAAGAAGGTCAGACAGGAGGAATATCTCTTCCCTCACACCACCTGAAGCCTCGTCCCGAAGTAGTTCCATGGCCTCCCCATTCATGAAGCCATCGAGATAACACTCACCCACCAGATAGAAACTCTCCTCAGCTGTGTTGTTGCTGTTTGTTGGCCTCAGCAAATACGGTACGTTCCCCACCATACAGGATAACGATAACATCGCCTTTTTGGCGACCGCTGGACAGAGTCCAACCTTATCTCCCTCTGTCCTAAACAGGCATTTGCCGTGGCATGGGAAGCAGCAGTATGATCGCGAGGCATTTGCTTCCGCGCCATCCTCATCTCCATCTCCCACTTCCCATGCAGAAGAAGAAGACTCTTCATCTCCAGAATCACACTTATTATAAAACCCATGAGAAGTGAGATGCCAGCCGCACCTCGTGTAATATTTTGCGTCATCCCTCTTCTCTTTGGCAGCCAGAGGGTGTTTCCAGTTCAGCTTGGTCATTTCCCACATGTTGAGAACGCTTGCGGGATCAAAGACGGCCTCGTAGACGGCCTGCATCCGCCTCGAATTTGCAAACGGCCTGAATTTCGGGGTGGTGGAGGAGTAAGGGTTGGGGAAGGGGTAGTATGCCTTGTGCTGGAGAATGTCGATGCGAAAGCCTTTCAAAGCTAGCATGCCTGGAGGTGTCGTTGGACTGGTGAATTCAAGATCCACATTGGCCTTGGTAGCCCCCGAGGCGCAGAATCCACAGCCGCGGTTGTTGAACAAACCTAGGGTTCCCAAGCTCCATTCGCTACGCCCTTCGTACCAGAAGGACCAGGATGGTTTCTCCGCGTAGTCGATTTCGCGCGGAGCAGCAGCAGCAGCTCCATGCGTTGACAGGTCAATCCACGTAGGCCAGGGCTGAGCGTGTACAGCAGACAAGATGTCGAGCCTGCCATGATGCGAGATCCACCACTTTGTAAAGTCCGAGAACACTTCAACCGTTGATTTTCGTAGTTGGGGCGAGCGTGTTGGTGGAGCTGCGAGATATCGCGTGTTTCCTCGCCGAAGGTGAGAAGAGCAAAGATCTTATCCCGGGGTTCGGTGGCCTCCATATCGAGGCCCTCTGTTACGACTTGGAGGATGGGGAACCTTTTAGATGTCCTGAAAGACGCCTTGGGCAGTCCAGAGGAAGTAGATTCGTTGTGGACATCCTCAACCACGGCGTGTTTCAGGTATAATTGCCATTCAACGTGGAATAAAGAGCTCCAGACCCGAGGCATGACCGTGTTTTGCAGGTACTAAAAATGCACATCCAGACAATGGTTGGCATGGATGATGGAGCTCCATGTGAGCTCATGTTCGCCGCAAAGAACAGAGACACCGCCCCTCGTTGTATCAAGGCCATCGCTGGTTGGGAACAGCCTGTTCCAAACTTCCTGAAGGACCCAAACGCGTCGAACCAAGGCAGCTCAAAGACTTGGTCATGGCACATGGCTACCTGTTCCCCAGTCCAAAGTTCTTCATGTGTGTTAGAGGGGTAGAATGGATGTCTTTCGGCACCCGGCTTCTCGGAGTTGTCCATGTCGTGATGATTTCTGTCATCCAGGATGGGCTCTGTGTCCCCGACAGTAGGATGTGGTGAGCCATATGGACAGCTTGGAGACAACAGTTGCTTGTAAGATTGTTCGACGCAACGGATTTTCTGGCAGTCTTCTTGAGCCCACTGCGTCCCTTCACCGAGCCAGACGTATACCCTATGGGCCGAGGAGTAGATCTCGCCCATTAGTTCGACTTGCTGGGCTCGTTCTGGCAAGTCGTTTTGCTTGATACAAAGCAAGTCGATCCAGAGAAGATGCGACTCTTGACGACGCCGAAGCTTCTTCAAAGCAGAGTACAGGTTCCGATTTACCGACATAGTGACAGGCGCAAGAATATTCATGCTGTCTTTCCCATTGCGAATCATGACTGTTTGTGGGTCTTTGGCACTACCCCAGCAATACGAGAGGGCACTGAACTTGAGTCGACCTTCTTTGTCTGCCAACGGGGTGTATCTCAGGACAAAACTGACAGGGTCTGTATCAAATTCGGATGGCTCTAGCTCGACCAGTCGGATCTCCTTGTTGAGTGTATAGAGCTTGCGGTACATACTGTAGTCGTTCCATCTAGAGAAGTCTCTTGTTGGCAAAAAAAATGAGCCAAGCTGGTTTCTGGGATCACCACCTCAACCCCGAAATCGATAGAGGTTGCTTGGACGTAGTTAGTCCAGAGAGGCCAGTTGGCTCTGGGCACCAAGCGAACATCATCTCCGCTTTCAATTGCGCGCAGCCACTCTTCCCATGTTTGACTGAATTCTCAACCAGTGCCGTTTCTAGGTTTCTCTTGTCGAACCCCATAATCCCAAGCAGCATGGTGAGTGGTGTAGTCCCATTTAGCGTGCACGTTACGCTGAATGACAACGCGGCGAACGCGCTCCTGGCCGCTTGGCTGAATAATACATGCGTCAAAGAAGGTTTGGGATGCATCGTAAGTTCCTTTGAGACGATCCGGCTCCCCAGAGAAGCCTTGGTCGTGGGAAGTGATTGCGAAGGCAAGGCGACGGACAACAGAGAAAGTGCTGGCCGGGTCAGAGGGAGCGGAAAAGGGAGAGTGAGAGCAGTGAAGGCACGCGCCGGGCAGTTCTCAGCTGTTGTGATACAGCCACTGTCCCCAAGAGTCGTACCCCCGTGAAGTGACGCCAGGTGGCTAGAGGAGTGAGGTCTTGGGCAGCAAGACTCATTTCAAGGTTGGAGTGTTGAGGACGAGGAAAGAAGTTCGATTAGCCTGGGCAGAGGAAGGCGCAGTACGTCAGGTGCGACGGGATGCAAACTCTTCTGAACTCGGTGTGTGTTTGTTTGTTTTGCGGAAGCTACAATCGGCTCCGTGAACTTCTTGATGGGGACGGGGCAAGTGCCACGTTGGTAGTGGATAACTTGAGCCGCGCCGACCGGACCTGTCGCGGACTTGGGACGAGGGACCGGCCCCGACCATGCCGCCAATCCCGCTTTACAGTGCTCCACTCCCTCGGCATTTCCCGCTGAGGGGAACGTCAATCACCGGCAAGAGAGAGCTGAACAGAGGAACCTCGGCTCTTTGACCCCAGCCTAACCTTTTGCTTCCCCGGAATTCGGGTCCGCCCACACCAATCCAACCTCCATCGTTGTATCGCGCCTGTTCTAGCGTCGATGATTTCTCATCACACAATTTGATACCTTTTGTGAGGACTCGTTTGGATATCTGTTTTCAGAGATTCTTCAGGCTTCATTTCAGTGGCAGGAAAAGAATTGTCATTCCTCTTCGTCATTGGGGCATCTCCATCAAATAGGCGGTGTCTTGAATCGTGCACCTGTATCGCATCGGAGCGAGCATTCTCGTCTTCAGCAGCAGCCCTGTAACCATTTTACAGGTTCAAGTCAACTTCCCCAGAGTCCCCGCTTCTATTCCCAGTCACGGTGCCCTGTCAAGACCTTAGCGCCACTGTTACAGCCGCGGTCGCTGTCGGCGACAACAATAATCTGTTTCAGTACTTATACACGGTGAACCGCCTGCACAACACCACCCCGAACGAATCCCAGCTTCCTGGTTGCGCATCTTCCAGAGGCCCTACCGCAGAGATCCATAACTGTTAGCCAACTTGTGTCACTTCTCGACTAGATCATACTATCAACTCCACTGAGACTCCCCTACCTAAGCTACCTCAACATTGAGCCATTATGGCGGGACGGGTTCGTCATCCCATCGACGTTAGGGCCCTCGAGTCATGGCTGGCCCAGAAGGTCCCTGACATCGAGGCACCTTTGGATATCAAGCAGGTGAGTGTTGTGTTATCGGTTCCATTCCGACTTTTGCTGCTGATGACCACCATCTAATTTTATTACAACACAGTTCGGCTTTGGTCAATCCAACCCGACCTACCAATTGACAGCCGCCGACGGCAGGAAATATGTCCTCCGCAAGAAGCCGCCAGGAAAGCTGGTATCCAAGACGGCCCACAAGGTCGAGCGCGAGTACCGCATCCTGACGGCCCTCTCTGACACCGACGTGCCCGTGCCGCGGACCTACTGCCTGTGCGAGGATGAGTCCGTCATCGGCACCCCCTTTTACATCATGGCCTTCCTCGACGGCCGCATCTTCGAGGACCCCATAATACCCAACGTGCTGCCCGACCAGCGCCGCGCCATCTGGAGCGACGCCGTCCGCGTCCTGGCCAAGCTGCACCGCATCGACCCCAAGAGCGTCGATCTGGAGGAGTTCGGCAAACCCTATGGCTTCTACAACCGTCAGATCCAAACCTGGAAGACCATCTGCACCGCGCAGGCCAAGGTCGAGGATGTCGATTCGGGCGAGCCCGTCGGCCAGTTGCCCTTCTTCGAGGAGATGATGAAGTACTTTGCCGATGTGAGGCAGCAGCCGGCTGACAGGGCGACCTTGATTCATGGCGATTTCAAGATCGACAACCTTGTCTTCCACAAGACGGAGCCGAGGGTGATTGGTATTCTCGAGTAAGTCATTTCCCCCTCCTCCGTCACCACCCACCATCTTCACCCACACACATACACTAACTCTCTACCAACCTAGCTGGGAAATGTCCACCATCGGCCATCCCCTCTCCGACCTCTCCAACTTGCTCACGCCCTTCTATACCGCCCGCCTCGACCCTCGCCAAGCCGTCAGTGTGCACCCTGGCTTCCTCCCGCGCGCCACGCGCGGTCTGCCCCACGTTGACGAGATCACCGAGCTGTATTTCAACGTGACCAGCCCCGTTGGACGATCCACGCTCGAAATGTCGCTTCACCGCCAGGCGTCTCCGACCGAGGAGCAGGAGCGCCGGCGCGAGCTGGCGTGGGCGCAGGCGTTCAACATCTTCCGGCTGTCGGCCATTTGCCAGGGCATTGCGGCGCGCGTGGCGGGCCGGCAGGCGAGCAGCGCGGAGGCAAAGAGGTATGGTGATGGGCGGGAACCGTTGGCGAGGTTTGCGTGGAAGTTGTGCCAGGATGTGGAGGAGAAGAGTCCTAGGCCGAGGATATAAGTGTGTGTTCGTGGGCCGCGAGGTAGCACCACTAGTGACACACAATAGTTGTTTTTTGGATTATTCAATCTTTGGACAACATATTGTAGCCAGTCAGCCAGCAAGCCAACCTTTTAGTATATATTCCATTCTTGTGTAGCAAAGTTAAACAACTAGACACCATCTTTGTATGTCCATACTAAAGTGATCTTGTAACCCTCTACCTTAACCCTTGACCAGAAACCACACAGCCGGTCATCAACCAACCCTTTTCACCTAAAGCATTCTTTTCCTCCTTTCCTGCCACATCATCATACCTTCATACCCTTTCCCTCTCTCCAGTTTCTACCCTCGCTTCCATCAAACCACTCACTTCTTGACCAACCGATACTTCCCCCCACTAACAACCTCCATCTCCCCCTCGGCAATCTTCTCCGCCAGAAACTCCCCCAGCTGCTCGTTCGTCCACGGGAACCCGTCCGCGATCAACATCTTCATCATCATGGCCATCTGTGCCAGCGGCATCGACGCGCTCGCGTTCGTCAGCATGCCCTTGATGTACTGCCAGTACATAGTGTTGCGTTCTTGTTCTTTGGGGTTTATTGTAGTAGTAGGCTTTTCAGTGTCGGCTTCGACAGCTTGTCCTGAATCCTGCGGGATGGTGGCCGTGGCGGAGTCGGGGTTGCTGAAGGGGTCGTCGTCGTCTATTTTGGTGGGCAAGTCGTCGACTATAGGATCGCTGAGGCTTTCGATTACCACGTAGGTGTGGGACCCTTGGGCGGCTGCTGCTGGGGAACGGAGACGTCGGAGGACGTTTTTGGAGACCCAGTACTCGAGGCAAGAAGCTATAAGATCTTCGTCCATTTGGAGCGTAGTGTAGAGCTCGTCGACCGTGCGGCGGGCGGCGGGTGGTTTATTGTCGGTTTCGATTCTCGTGTTGTTGTCGTCTCCGGAGTCTTCGGAGTCGTTGAAGGCGTAAATGACGGTAGCCTGCGGGGTGGTGCAATCTACGGTAACCGTGCGGTCGCGGAGCTCCAACTCGACGCGGACGGTACCGAGCTGGTTGAGCCAGGTGAGCTTGCGGTTCGATTTGACGTGCTCGTAGCCCTGCTCGTAGCGCTTCTGCTCCTCGACGATGGGGTCGGGGAGGAGGAAGTGTTCGCGGTCGAGAGCGGGCCAGAAGAGGCGCGAGAGGATGCGGGCGTGGTATTGCGTCGGCTCTAACAGTTGTTGTTGTTGTTGTTGTTGTTGTTGTCGCTGGAGCATAGCCTTCTTCCGCTTGTCTGCTGATCGGAGGAAGTGGCCTGACATCGTCGCTGGCGTGACTGCAGTCAGTGTCCGCTGCTCGTCCCAGGCTCGGTGGATGGCGACGTCGAGACGCTGCGAGTCTACGATGTCCTTGATCATGACGTCGCAGTTCTGGAGCGCCGCCTCGCCGAATCGTCGCTTCAGGAGGTCGAGCACCCGGAGCTCTTGGTCGAAGCGAGCTGGGTCACTGAGGCCCAGCAAGCGCTCAGCTATTATGGTGATAAATTCCTTGATGAAGACATCTTCGCTGCCAAGCGCGGAGATGAGTGTGCCAATGACGTCTTCACTCTTGGGCCGCTTGTAGTTGGCGCCGGCGTCGACGGGGTCTGGCACCCAGTTCATGTCGTTCCAGTCGAGCTCTTCATCTTCGACGAGGGTATGGCGCGTTTTGGTCGGATCGTTAAGAAGGAGGGCAAGTTCTACGAGTTTGCCAGTACCGGAAGCTTTGCTCTTGATTGGAGTTGCGCCGGGAGTTTTGATGCTGGGTTCCTGTAGGTCATCTCTTTGCCTTGTGGTATTCGGGGTTCTGCTCGATCTTCCTGTCGTGGTAGGTGTCACCACTGGTCTTTTGCTGGCACCGCGTCGAGCACCAGCTTCTGGCCTCTTTCCAGCCTTCTTCTGTTCCGCCTGGTGCTTGCTGATTTCCCTGACCTTTCTTGCGGCACGGACTTCCTCTGGACTGGCTAGCAGGCCTGTCACCACGATGCGTACTGCATCGTCGCGCTGCCACAGGTAAAGCTTTAGAGACGGTTCAACATGTCCTAAAAGGACCTTGCTGTGATCGAGAGCGTGAAAGGTGTGAATAATGTCAATGTAGGTCTGGAGAATCTCGAGTGTACTGCAACCAGGGTGCAGCAGACGAGTTTTCAAAGCCTGGGTAAAGTGTGATGTTAGTTGAAGCCTCCTGGCGGAGGTAGTGATGGTTGCGCGCAAGTCATCGAGTGCTCCTCGTGAATCCGGCCACGCCAGAACAATGTCGAAGAGCTCGGCGATGCGAAGCGTCGACAAACGACTAAGAGCAAGTGATTGGAATGTTTTGAGGTCAGAGAGCGTGACTGGTGGCCCCGAATCATGTGAAATTCGGGACAGAACCTCGAAGCTCAACCGGGCGAAATGGTTCTCAACCCAGTCCATGAGGGAGATGATACAAGGCGAAGTGACGGATGAACCGGTACCCCTAGACACCGTGTTCAAAACGCTCGACAAGTCGCCTCTATCAGTCGCTGACCATAGCCCAGCATATGCACCGCACACAAAAGCCGACATCATCCAGTTCATTACCTCGGCGAATAAAACCTGGAAGCGCTCGCCAGCAAGACCCACGTTGTGCAGCTGTTCAACAAGCTCCTGAAGACGTTGTCTCGCTGCCAATGCTTTGAAATCGTCATCAGTAGGGGGAGATGGCCGCCGAGACTCGAGGTTACGCGCACCATCGTCGTCATCTGATGGAATGCCTAAGACGTTCCCTACGAGGCGGACTAGAATAATCCGCAAAGACTTCGTTAGCTGCTGTGAGATCGAGTTTCCTACGAGGGCGTGTATATCTCTGCGGAACCGGTTCGTCAGAGATTCGACATTTATAGCTGGCGTTCCGAATGCAGAAGCACTTTGAGCGTGGGTGAGCCCCTTTACAAGGAGGTCAAATCCCTGGGAGTAAAGTCTCAAGGCAGCTTCAAGTGTGCGAACACTGCCCATGACTATGACCATATGACGCTCATAGTGGCTGCTCTTGGTCCGCTCTTGCTCACTCCCTTCCCTCCCTGGGTCACCATCTCCACTGCTCCCCGTATCCAAACCCCCCGATAACAGAGGTATCACGTGCTGCGAAAAGTGACATCGCACCTGGTGGGTATGCCAGGAGAATATGTCGTCTGTCCGTATGGCGCCGGGCAGTAGCGTCGAGGCGTGGACGACATGGGCCAAAGCGTCACAGAACTCGGCATCAAAGGGCAAAGCTGCGTCTGCTAGCAGGGTACCTGATGATGTTGGAGATGTGACGGAGGACGGGAGAGTAATTCGGGCGGTTACGAGACGCCAGGCATTGTCATATGCAACCTGATCACCGGTCCCAGCATCTGGAGCAGCGAAGAGAACTTGTGAAGGCTGTGAGACGGCGGTAACGGTGCTGTGGAATGAGTTGGAGGGGGTGTGCGAAACCAAAAGACCTTGGTCGGGTGGGTCGATGAAAGCGGGCTGGGTGTTGTCCTGGGTATCCTCGTCATAGAATGAGCCGGAAGTCACAGGTGGTCCTGTGCCAGAGTGATATTGGAGTCCTTGGCTGAAGCTAAGATTCGCTGATGGAAGCGGTACTGCCTGTGGTGTGGGTGATGAGAGCTCCCTTTGGAAGACGGACTGGAAAACACGTCTGCGACGGTCTTGCCAACGAGAGGCGACTGCGGCTGGCATGGCTGGACGAAATATCTGGTATCATGGGAGCCTATATGGCGGAGGAGAGGCGATGCGGATCTGAGGGGAATGACTGGCGACTGGTCTGGTCTAGGATCTCCTAGCTCTTGGCCTGCAGTGCATATGCACACTCCGGTTGGCGCTTGTTTCCAATATCGTTTGCAGGGCACAAATCAGAGTTGGCCAAGGTGCTCAGAGTTGAAGTGAAGGTATCGTTGTTTTCATTGTTGGTGGTAAGGGTCGTCACATCTGGGTCAGCGCCCAAGCCGCGAACCAGGTAAGAATCCACTGGCAGTTTAGTCTTGACGTTTCCGGTGTTGATACCTGGTGTCTGACGCTGTGAGCGGCTGTGAAAATCTGAGCCACGCCCGGACGATTCTCGTTGTCGCAGTTGTTGCGTTGAAGTTGTTGGCATGCGGATGGAAGGTGCCCTGTGGCTACTCTCCACAGCAACAAAAGCGCCTGCGTCATGCCTTACAGGCGGGGGCCCGGACGCGGCAGCCGCGGCACAGCTCTTGGCACAGTGGTGTACTGGCCCACCACAGGGCAACTGTACCTGGCACTCCTGTGCGCTAATTTGATGCCTAAGCGCCTGCCGCGCAGTTGGTCGCTCCTCACAAAATACCTCTACCGACCAATGGATGAATCAATCATCACACCTTCTTTCTTTCCTCATCTCTTCACGATTCTTTCCAGAAACTTATTCGAACCTGCGCCTGCGCCGCGCTCTCACTTTTCTGCCGCTCATTTGTTTTTCCCAGTAAGACGCACCAGACCTCAAGCAGGCCCGTGGGACGATTATCAACACTACCTTCGACCATCATCATCTCCAGGTGGGCCCTAGATGTAGTGACAACCTAGCTATGGCTATCCGACCAAGCTAACACCTGGGGGAGAGAACAGTACCTCACTGCATCGCTCTCACTCAACAACTGCATCAAGTGGTTTTATTCCAATATCGAGTTGCTCGGCTATGTCGCTCACAATGCCCTCCACGGCTTTGGATGTTATCCCTCCCTCATATTTGCCCCTGCCTTGAACAGATTCAACAGTTCCGCCGAGATTGGACTGCTCACCCCCCGGTGTTTTACATGACCCGTGAAGGTGGCTCGCACATGGCAATGAGACAGGGCTCATGGTTTATGATTTTCCAAAATTCCATATTTCTTTACTGTTTTTTACCCATTCTGGCAAACTCCAACTGATAGGGGCAAGAATTGGACTTCGCAGAAGTTGTAAAAGAGACTCTTGTGCTAACGTCTGTAATGAATGGCCATCATACTCCATTTTGACGAAAGGGAAAAAGAGACTGTAAGCGATATGCCAGTCTTCCCCGTTAACAACCAGTGGTTCTTCACCTCCAAACAGGTCACCATTCTGGGCTATCAACATGGAGTGTCTGTCTGTCACCGACACATCAGCCTCCTAGGGTCCAGATAAACCCCAAGCTTGTAAGATCGCCATGCCCTTCAAGAGCGACATATTTTATCTGGTACAACTCCATCCACTTCTCCTCTGGATACCTAACATCTCAGTGTTTTTGTCCTTAAATCCCTCTTCACGCATGTCTTTGTCATCAATCCGCCCTCTCAGCTTTCCTTGAACCATCGGCAACTGCAGGCTACTAGTACACACATGCCTCAGGGCTATGAGACCATCACGAACCTCAGTATGAGGGACAATCAATTTTTGCTACGTCGACACCATAGCCGATCCATAGAGGCATGGAGCCCCAAAGCCGGGAACCTCCCTAGGGGGCTAACTGGAACCTTGCATAGGAGTATGGCAACAACAGGCTTCACTACTCATTTCCCATCCGGAAACAGGGGACTTTGACCTAGGAAGGGTTGAGAAGGGATTATGGGTGTTAAATACCTTTTATCTATCCACTCAACCGCTTGCCAACCATTAGGTAACCAGGTACCAACCTTCCAAACCTGCAAGTTGCACTGCGGGGACAAGATCTGGTAGGGACAACTCGCAAATATCGATCGCACTTCGAAGCGCTACACCATCAGTTCCTTAGTGAACTGCACCTTATGGATCATCAGCGAGCATCCCAATCGCGACCATTCCCTAGCGCTAGGCATCATCACCTGGCAACAACCAATGTGTCTAAAGGTTTCCAGTCAAGTCCTTGTCTCCTCTATGTCGCAAGCCTTTTTACGAGCAAGCGGATACAGTAAACACTACCCGCCACACCAACTCCGAACCACTTCTAGGTATCACTAATCACCCAGAAAGACGCACCGGATCGCCGCCCGACGCCCGGTGGACTCACTCACCAACCTATTCCCCACTCTTGCCTACCTGTAGGCAACCCACTTCATGTTGTCCTCGACTACGCGAGCTCACCGAAGTGAGACGCACGTCTGCATGGCGGCGGGGGTTTCCAGTTTTCTCCAACCTGTTGACGTCCCAGCAGCCAGTTTTTGTGGGAGCAAAGTTTGAGTGGCTCGAGTGGCACGGGATGTGGAGGGCGTAGATAGCTCTAGGGTGGTAGATGGAAAGAGGTATGGAGGTATGCATGTATGTAAATATGTATGTATGTAACCAGAAAGGGGGTAAGTAATCACGGGACTGTTTGCGTTTCTCTTCTGTTTTTGTTTACTGTGTGCTGAGTACCGCTTTTACTCAGTCGATATGGCTTTACTCAAACCACTGCCATCATTGGATCGGTCCCAGGAAATCGTCTGACCCGCATCAACGCGCGAGACGATTGGTCAAAGCCAAATATACCCGGCGCTATACCTAGTTGAGTGAAACCATATCGACTGAGAATTAACGGTATTCCGTTCTCTCTTGTTGGCTGGTGCTAGTGAGTGGGGGTGAGTGTTGAGTAGGCACCTACCGCATCTATTCACTTGATTGGAATACCCCTTGGCAAGCACCTAAATCTCTTATCATACATGGAAGCGAGCCGCCATACCTAAGATGGGCATTGAAGCGAGGCGGCTACCCGTTGCCAGTATACGCTAGGCTCCCAGAACGTTACAGCGGGCCTGCGGGAATCTTGCAGATGGGGGCTAGTCTAAACTGAGAGGAGTTTAAAGGGCATTCCAATCGAGTGAGAAGATGCGGTACCTACTTGTAGGGACCTGAGTCCGTGGTTTTTCTTCTTCTTCTTCGTCCTATCCTTCTTTGTGTTTCGATGAAGTTGGGCCATGGATCGGATAAGGATGTGGGTTTGCATGGTGATCGTCGATGATTATTATATGTGTATAGAATTGTTGTGGTGTTTCGGTGTGGTGCGGATGACATTTATACCCCGACAAAGGATGACCTGGCGAGGTTGTCCAGATGAATGACAGCGGACGAATAGAGTGCCATTACCTGTGCTGGCAGCGACGACACTACTGAGAGGTCTCTGTATGGAGGTATTGCGAACATGGTAGCATTTGAACTGCTGGTTTTGCTGGTGCCTAAATGTACTAGGAGTTGTGAAAAATAGTCCGGACACTCTTTGAGTGTGGTTGAGTGTAAGCGTGTCCGGACTTTTTCTCTCAGTGTCTGTGTACCTACAAGTTGTCCAGCACTTGTCTTTGGGAGCGGACAGTGGAAGCGAGGTGAATTTACGGCGTAGTGATGATCACCCTTGCCCCCGCCCTATGGATACCTCTATGGTACTATGTAAGGCCGAGTGGCATCGTGGTTGCTGTGCCCTCTCCGTGCTGAAGAGCGGACTTTTGTTTCGGTTCACAACAGCTTCCCGCTACGGCGGTAAAGGACCTACGATCTGCATGTTTTAGTATTTGGTACTTGGGGGTTGTGGTGCGGCCTGGGACTTTTCCTCAACCCCCTCTTTTATGAAGAGGGAGTTGAGGAAAAGTCCCAGGCCGCACCAGAACCTCCAAGTAAGGGAGTTCTGGTAAGCGTGATTAATTATTATGGCTTTCCATGCAATAATTTACTCTCTTATTTGTATGCCGTGAACTGTGACGTTGAAGCCTCTTCTTACATTCTTGTGAGAATGTCGGGTAATGGAGCAATTATCCACCCATAAATGGTCGATAGTGACCTCTGTCAGTAGCCCGACGTTTATCGGTCGCGCTGGTTGATGATGTTGTCGGGGGGCATGATCCATCCGGAATCGGGCTTTCTCCTGGCGATGATCAGGTCTACCGGCTTTCAATACCTCCAAAGATGTGCAGAAAGGTCACTAGACTGTTTAAATCCCCGAGAGACGGGCTATGATGAGTTCTCAAGGGCTTGCGGTTGCAAGGGGGGCGAGCTGATGGGATCTCCGACGTAGGAAAGTTGATGGATATGCATTGTGTGCTGGGAAGGCTTCTGCAAGGTTCTTCACATCCGCACCCATCCGGGCTAGTACAGGTGTACGTGGGGGACACTGAGAAGAAACGTCAGGCTGAGAGGTCTCTGTGTCGTGTTGCGCACCGCTGCGCTGAAAAGGCTTGTGCGAGGTTCTTCGCGTTCACACCCATTCGAGTATGTGGTGGACACTGACAAGAACCATCGGATGCGATCCGGCCAGGCAGAGGCACCAGTGAAGGATATGCCGTCTGAAGGGCGTGGGTGTCATGACGCGCACTACAATTGCTCTCAAGAGACCAACCATCTCTGACAATTTGGAGTATGCCTTTCTGTCCATGACTCTCTCTGACTGGGTTTCTCAGTCAAGCACAACCAGGGAATACCTCCATGAAGTAAGTTCCAGAGCTGCAATGAGCATGCGCTACTCACCACGACGAATCTTTCTGCGATTGAAGTCCAGTCGTTCCCCTTCTTTGATAATCTAACAAGACGACCATGCACGCACGTGTGGCACAACGGCGTCCGCCGACAAACTTTGCTTGGAAAGTCTTGGAAGAAAGACGTACCCGGGAGAGCTCCGCCCGACTCCAGTTTTGATATCCCAATTCACACACGGTGGTCTGATGATGGATCCCATTACGCAGTAGTGCCTGAATAACCAATACGCAACGCCACCACGATGCAACGTTGGTTTTGGTAGGGCTTAAGTGACACTCTCCACTATCGCT